ATCCTCAGTCGGGCCCAGGGCCCGGCCCCCTGGCAGGCCGAGCCTAATTCTGTGCCTCTGACTCAGCCTCGGGTGCGCAGCGGCCAGGGGGCGCGAGCACGAACAGTCCAGGCTGGCCCCCCGGGGGCCGCGCGCCGGGGCCTGAAATAGCTCATTTTGATCCCGCTACCTAGGCCAGGAGCCCAGGCTTGGCACATGGTGCAACCAGCTGCTCCTGCAGCAAAAGAGAAGTGGTTAGATGACCATGAGGACGGGTCGACTGGCCCGACTGATGAAGAAATGGCGGTTAGAGAGGGGACAGACTCCCTGGTTGTCACTACATAGGGAAGAAAGAGAGACTGGAGTCGGGATGAGACTTCTAGAGCAAGAGGGAGGGCGATTGGAAAGTGGACTGCAGCAAAGCTAGGGTACTTGAGATAATCTCCTAGCTGCAAGCCCAGCCTCAGATCCCTTCCATTGGTCCACGGTCTTGCCAATTACTGCTGCACGCTACAAGCTCTCCAATCAAACATGCCCTCTCAGGCAGCCCGGCGTTACAGCCAGTCGTGAGACACCTCCCTTTGGACACTTTACTAGTTACTGTTATTTTCTTCTCTATCATTGGTCTTCCTGGAGGCCGCTCTCTTCTTGCGCGGCACTCCCAGAGAGGGGTGGGGCTGATAGGGTATTGCTAAGCGACAAAGATGCACGCGGGGTCTGTCCGGTGAAGTAGAGCAGCAGACCGAATCGCTGAGGTAGATGCGGGATGGACCGCAGGTAAGGACGATCCCTCTTCCAGGGACACAGGAGGCCTGCGATGGACCAAGGGTGAGGGCAACACAGCTTAGGGACAGATTTGCTAGTGTCCGGAGTTTCTCGAGCTCAACCGCATTGAAACTACAACTCCCAAGATGCTCCACAGCCATTGACCGTTCCAGCCTTAGACTTCACCATCCCGGGGGTCCCATAAACGTCTTATATTCCGCTCTCTGAATTGCCCTCAGGGATTCTTTCCTCTAAGGTCGTCCAAGGGCAACTTGGGAATTGAGTTTTTTTATTTTGAAATTGCCTCCAGACACTCGTGGGTGTTGTTTTGAACTTTCCTCGCTTAGGCGGAGCCCAGTGAATCACGGGAATTGTAGTTCACCTACAGTTCTTAGCGTCCCCAAGGATTTATGGGAAATGTACGGTGATAGGGTCCAGTCGCAATTCGTAACCTGAGCTCCACTTAGAAATCACCTGGGACGCTGCGAAAAAGATACGGATATTTTGATTATGTTGGTCTGGGGTGAGAACCGCGCGTCTTTAATTTTAAAAGGCCCCTCCTAGACTGGATCCAGAGTTGAGAACTACCGGCTACCAGTTCCTGGGTTTTCTTTTAAGACTGCTCCAGGGGCTCATGGGAATCGTGCCTCCACTATCATTATCTTGAATGTTTAGCTGTGTTTCAGGGGATTTACAGTCCATCTCTTCCAGGAATCCATGGGAATTGCCTTCCTCTCACGTCCCCCTCCCCACGGCTGCAGTGACCATGTACTGCCTGCCAACCCCACTCTTCCCTTGCAGCCTGCCAGTTTTTTCCACTCAAGACAGTCCCTTTGGAGATGCTCCCCTCGGCCGAAATCACTACTGGCCATCCCGAAGCCAGACCTGGTGCCCTGAGGTGAGGACACCCCACAGAGAGTGCTGAACGCCAGCTCAGTAGCAAGGGAGTGACCACTAGAGGGTAGGAAGACATGTAATGAGAAATGGGGATGAGAGATTAATAGATGGTTCTTTCTCCCCATCCCCAAACTTCGTATGTGTCTTTGTTCCCCTACAAGGATGACCCCTCAGACCTTGCTTTTTCTTCTTGTGCTCTCCCCCGTTTTAGACCCTGAGCCCATCCAGGTCCCAGAGATCGAGGCTCCCACAAGCTCCCAAGGTTCTAGCCACACGCCCCAACTCCCCTGAGCTGTTTGAGGAGTCCTGGCCATCCAGTTCAGGGACCCCTTCCCCACCCAGCACCACTGAGGGACAGATGGGAGCCTCCCCACCACCCACTCTGATTGACAACAGGGACTCTGTGGTGGCCAAGTAAGTACCAGCAGCCCTGGGGGAAAAGGGTTAGAAAAGCCCTGGGTTAGAGGGATGGAGAAGGCATTACACAATAATCATCATAGCTAGAACTGTTTATGCAGCACTCTTTTAGGATCAAGCACTTCACGTGTTGTGGAATATACTAAAAAGCATACATACTTCACAGGGCCTGGTTTTCCAAAGCCTTGCAGTTTCAAATATTGACCTTGTAAGGACAGGAAATTTCCCTCAGGCTATAAGTCTCTGTTGCAAGATAAGGATTGTGGCACAGCAGGTTGCGGGCTCAAAGACATACTAGTTACTGATTGTTATGTAAAGATACTGAGAAATTGCTATAGGAAGGAATGTTTGCTAAGATCAAACTTGTTGATAGGACCACTTAACTGCCTTACTGGAATGTCATCTGGCTTGTTTCACTGAAAGTTACCAGCCTATACTGTTAAACTATAACCCCACCTTTGTCTCTTCCTGTAACTTCCTGGTCTGGAAAATAAATGCAGGAAGAGAACCCCAATTCGGTGTTAATATCCCAAGGAAGGGATGGCTCTCGTTTGAGCATGCTAAAGGGAGGTTAACCACTTCGGGGCCTCTCACTGCTCAGTAGAGATGGGCTTTGAGTAATCTTTTGCATCTCCGTCACCCAGGGGGAGTGGGGTGACAAATCCATGGGGGGCGAAGCAACGCAAAGCAACAACATGTGTTATTAAGAGCTCTGAAGCTAAACTGCCTGGGTTCAAATCCCAGCTCTGTCACTTACTCTCTGTATGACCTTGGCCTTGGTTTCTAACATCTCTATATTGACAATATTATAGCACATATTACCTAGGGCTGTTTTGAGTTTTCAGTGAGTTTCCATATGTAATGATCTATAATAATGCCTGTCACTTAGTGAGCATTTGGGTTTGTAGGACACATGTTCAGCTGCCAAAATAAAGAGTCCCAAATGTGGCTTAAAGAAGACAGTATTTATTTTTCCTTCACCTAACAGTCCAAACAGAAGCAACCAGGGCTGAGATGGCAACCCCTACTTGAGGTGTCAGGGACACAGATTCCTTCTACCTTGCTGCTCTCTCATCCCTAGGTTGTTGCCCTTTCTTTCATGGACCAATATGGATTCCAACCACATTGAGTTTCTTTTTTTTTTCTCTTTTAAAGATGACTGGTAAGGGGATCTTAACCTTTGACATGGTGTTGTCAGCACCACGCTCTCCCAAGTGAGCTAACTGGCCATCCCTACTTAGGGATCCAAACCCGTGGCCTTGGTGTTATCAGCACCACACTCTCCCAAGTGGTCAGCCCCACATTGAGTTTCTAGAATCACATCTTCTCATACCGTTTGTCAAGAACCTAGTCACATGACCACAAGGTTACAAGGACACCTGGTAAGTGTAGTCTATAGAAGAGTAGCTCTGTGCTTAGCTAAAAATTGCATTACTATGTAATAAAGGAAACATATATGGAGGGATAACTAACAGGCTCTGCCATGGTGATTGATAAACATTGGCTATTATGATTATTATTGGTATTTTTATTTGGCTCTCCTCACTCCACTCACTTCCTATCCCCCAATGCTCACAGGTATATAAACAGGTTTCGCCAGGCTCAGCCCACAAGCCGAGAGGAACGCCAGCCTGCAGGCCCAACCCCAGCTGACTTTTGGTGGCTGCAGGCTGAGTCTCTAGACCCCAGCAGTCAATTTGCAGCAGGTACCTCCTTCAGTTCCATTCACCCCCTGGCCTAAAACCTTTCCTGATCAATGACCCCAGCAGCCACTCCTCCTGGCCCTCATAACTGAATTGGGGCTTCTCAGCAGGAGCCAACAAACCAGAAGGAAGACCCAGTACAGCAGTTCCAACTCCTGCCAAGATGGCCAGCACATCCCAGGCTATGGCTCCCCTTCAGGAAATAAAGCAGGTGACATTCCCATCCACTCCCAACCTGTGTGCCTGAATTGACAGCACCAGCCATGGGACAGACTTAGAGCGAATCCCCAATTTGAAGAAGTTTAGACAAAAAGGGAGAATTTGTTGGCTAATGTAATTGATAAATCTAAAAGTTGATGGTTTCAGGCACGACTGGATCTAGGTGGTTGAACAACGTTGGGAGGAGCCCACCTTCTCAGCTCTGTGTTGTTCTTTGTGGGGCTCAATCTCAAGTGGGTTTTCCCCTCACAGTAGCCACGATGGCCCCCAGTGATTCTAGGCTCCCATGGTACTTACTTAGTTACTCCAGTAAAAAATGGGGCTTTCCAGTAACTCCATCCAAATCACCAGGGCTCACTCTCATTTGCTCATCCTTGAGCCAGTCAGTGTGAACCACAGGATAGAATGTTTTGATTAGTCAGCTCTGGTCAGGAAGGTGGGGTCAGTCATTCTCCAACAGCAGTGCCTTGCACATGACGTTGTGGATCCAAAGAGAAAAACTGGGTCTCTCTTCCCCGAGGAGGAGAAGCAGATTCTGAATGGCATGTGGGGAACAGACCTGCACTCTAGGTCCCTGTCCAGACCCCCTTTCCCAACAGCCTTTGGGGTGGGAGCTGGCCTCTGACCCTTCTCACCCTGCAGAACCTCAACACATGGAACTCATCCCTGCTGGACCTGGAGATGCTGAGCCTACAAAGCAGAGCTTCCAAGCTGCTCAAACGCAGGTGCCTCTACCACCCCCATCATTCTTCCCACTCCTACAGCTCCAGGTGAGCCCACTTTGCCTCACTTCTGCCTTCTCCCTGCAGCAAGACCTCCACCTCCTCCTCCTCCCTCAGCCCCAGTGATGCCAGCAGCTTCTCGTTCCCCATCAGTTCTGATGACCACTCTCCTTTCTCCGTGACCTTCACCCCTGACTCCAGTAAGGGCTTTGGCCCCAGGGGACCTGGTAAGTGCCAGGAGGCAAGGATTGAGAGCAGCCTGGGTGCAAATCCCAGCTCTGCCACTGATCAGCTGTAAGACTTTGGGCCTCTCTGGGCCTTGTTTCCCGAACTGTAAAACAGCCATAATAATTGTATTCCTCTCCTGTGGGTATTATGTTAGTGAATACATGGGAAGCACTTAGCACAGCTCTGTTAACAATTGCTATTGCTTCAAAATCAGAAGGCTTCATACCAGCCAGCGGCCAAAAAAATAGTCAGAAGGCTTTTTCAAATTTTTCACCACCCTGATTTGACAGAAAAATCTGACCTAAAGAACTATTTATAATCTATATTGATCTCATTTAGGGTGAATATTTATACTTTTTGCTATGTTGTATATTATGTTGAACCATATGAAATTTTTGTTTCTGTAAGTCAAAAATGTTCAAAGACTTGCCAGTTAGCTCAGTTGGTTAGAGCATGGTGTTATAACACCAAGGTCAAGTGTTCAAATCCCCACCTTGGCCAGCCACCAAATATTGGCAATTTCATATGGTTCAACTAAATATTAATGCATTTGAGTCTGGTGTAGTGCCCCAGACCCATGCCTATACTGGACATACCATGTGACTTTGCTAAAATATGCAAACGGTTGAACTCTCAGGATTTCAGAGATGGGATTAAGGACCTGGGTTAATATCGTTGTTATTGTTACTCTGTGTCCAGGTCCTTGACTGCAGTGCACAAGATAGATGCTATCTGGGTCTCACAGGGCTCCTGCAAGTCCCCACAAATAAACAGAGGTGTTCATGCATGTCATGTGATCCTGCGGAAGGACCCGCCTATCTGATTCTTCACTCTTTCCAAGCTTCACCTTTACACCTCTCCCTCCTGGGCCTCAGTTTTCTCATTTGTCAAATGGAGATAAAACTAGTACCTACTTCATGGGTTGTTTGCAGTTAAATTTATTCATTCATTCATTTAACAAACATTGAATCCTACTGTATGTGAAGGCCTGTGAGCAGGATTGGGGATTCCACAGCAAACCAACCATGCATGTTCCCACCTTCAGGGTCCTTACAGCATAGTGGGTGTGCGGCAGAGAATACAAACAAATGTGAAATGTAAGGGAAGGCCTGTGAGCAGGATTGGGGATTCCACAGCAAACCAACCATGCATGTTCCCACCTTCAAGGTCCTTACAGCATAGTGGGTGTGCGGCAGAGAATACAAACAAATGTGAAATGTAAGGAGAAATGAAGGACATGTAGGATAGGATTGTGGAGCTGGGAAGTCAGGGAGGGCTTCCTGGAGGTGGTGCTATCTCAGTGAAGACCTGAATGATAAAGGTGGAGATGGACAAGAGCCTGCCAGCATATACAATGGACTTCAAATGGGAAGGAGCACGGGGCAGACAATGGGCCAGAAAAGGCTAGAGCCAGGGATGAGAGTAGTGTGGCATAAGGTGGGAGAGATTGGCAGGGGTCATATTACATTGTGCCATGTAGGCATGGTGAGGCATTTGATTGTTATGTTATTAATACTGGGAGCCACAGGAAAGTTCTGAGCATGGAAAGGACATGATTTTTCTTGGGTGTTAAGAGACTCATTATGGCTGCTGTCAATACCCAGAGAGAGACACTGGTGGTTTGGCCAGAGGAACAGAATGGAGTGGAGAGAAGTAGCCAGGTTTGAAAGTTAACAGCAGGACTTAGGGGAAAAGGGGAAAGGAGAGGTCTGGGATGATCCCCCTTCCTTTGTGCAGCATCAGATGGTAGGGCCTCTGAAAGATAATGTTAGCTCTACTGATCATGATTGATGAAATGATTCTCTGGGTGATGGGAATGATGTTTGTTTGCCTCACTGGACTGATGACAGTACCTGGCCCTGCCCTTAGTCATTGCTATGTCCTCAGCACAGGGCTGGGCACTGGGATGGAGCACAATAAACAGTTTATTTTGCATTCGTGCCACATATATTGATTGCATGAGATCCTGTTCTTGACACAGGGGCTGTGGTAATAGACAAGACAGACAAAAATCATTGCCCCTACATAGCTGGCATTGTGGAGGGAGAGACAAACAATAAAGTCAAGAAGTGTGATGTTTAGTATGTTAGGTGGTAAGTGCTAAGGAGAAAAATGAAACAGGACAGAGGATAGGGACTGATAGGACTGGAGGTTGTTGCAATTTTGAGTGGGGTAGCCAGGGAAGGCATCACTAAGAAGGTGACATTTGGGCAAAGACCTGAAGGATGCCAGGTAGTGAACCCTGTGATACATGAAGGAAGAAGATTCGAGGCAGAGGGAACCACAAGTGCAAAGGTCTTTGCCTTTTACCAGGAGAGAGGTGCAGCGAGGGGAGGTTCTTAATCAGGAAGGCCCTGATCTGACTCAGGTCTTCACGGGCTCCCTCTGTCTGTGGGTGGGGAACAGATTAAGAGGACAGGAGAGTAGGGAGACCAGGAAGGAGGCTACTGTGATAGTACAGGTGGGGTGAGTGGGGTTGGACCAAGGGGAAGGGTGGTGGCACAGAAGTGGGCAGATTCTGGAGAATCTGTCTTATTCACTGCTGTAACCCCAGTGCCCAGAACAGTGCCTGGCATATAGTAAGAGCTCAATAAATATTTGTTGAATGAATGAAGCTGAATGAGGAGGTTGAGAAGCCCAGGAGTACTCTCTGACTTTGACTTCTGACTTTGCCCCCTTCCCTACTTCTCACTCCAGAGAGGAGTTGGGACATTATCTGGACAGCCTGTCTGAATAACCCTCTGGTACAGTTGAAAGGTATGTGTGCAGGCTGTTGGTTTGTTGATCACCCTGGCCCCTGCCTCACTCCTCTCCCCTCTGCTTCCCCCACAGCAGCCCAGGCACCGGCCCAGGCCCCCACCCCTGTTCCAGTCCCTGTCTCCTCCCGGGTACCACTTCGGCCAGAGGATGATATTCTGTACCAGTGGCGGCAGCAGCGGAAGCTTGAACAGGCTCAAAGAGGCGAGGGTGATGGAACCTGGGTGCAGTCCCGCACCCCTGTCCTCACCACTCTGGTGAGTTGGGGGAGGAAGGAGCCTGTAGATGCTGGAGGTAGAGCCTGAGAGGGACTGAGTACCCTCCACCCTCTTTCTCTGCCTCTCAGATCCCTCTTTCTATCTGTTTACAGACCTCTGCTGCCCCTGCGGAGACCCTTGGTTCCCAGGGCACCCAGCCTAACTGCATCCCACTGTGGGGCAGTGTGGCCCGGCCTGATCCTCCAGAGGCCTTCTATGCAGAGAGGCCTCCTATTCCCCCAGGGTTCTCACCACACATCTTCTGGGCCCCCAGCCCCCACAGCTTCTTCTGGGCCCCACAGTCCAGTCCCTGGGTATCTCTCGGGGCTGTTCCTCCTCCCACGCCACCAACCTCCACCCTAATTCCTCCACACTCCATCCCGGCAACATCGGCCTCCATCTCCGCGCCCCCTGTCGTCCCCCAGGGCCCGTCCACCCCTGAGCCAAGTAGTTCCGTCCAGCCCAAGAGGCTGGGTCCCAAGCCTCAGAGGGGCAGAACCCCGCGCCAGGAGGCTTCTGGGCAAGTCACGCCAGCTGAGGAGGGGCCTGACCCGCAGCTCAGGGGCGCCCTGGGCCAGGTAGTGACAGCCCGGCTGTTCCCTGACAACTTGGAAGACACTCCCCCTCTCCTCCAGAGCCTGCCTCCACCCCAGGCTGAATCTCTGAAAGTCAAGGCCACACACCCACAAGCCAAGGTTACGCCTCCTCGCTCAGAGGTCACGCCCCCTCAAGCCAAATCACACTGTCAGTCTAAGGCCGAGTCTCCGAAAGCCAAGGCCACGTCCCTCCCAGTGGGGTTGAGGAAGGGCAAGGCCACTCCCTCCGCCGAAGAAGCCGGGTATCCGCAGCCCAAGGGCCCACCCCCTCTATCTGAGGAAGCCTCCACGCTCGTCAAGGCCCCGCCACCCACCTTCAAGATGGGGTCGCTCGAGGCTGTAGCCACGCCCCCGCCCGCTGCTGACCACGCCCCCTCAGAGGACCTGCTCTGCCAGGCCGCTAGACTTCTGGAGGCCGCTGAAGGTGAGCCGGACGTTGGCGCCTCCCGAATCTGGGTGGTGGTCCAGCCCTGGGTCTAGGCCCCTTGAGCTCGCTCTTTTCCCCCAGACTCCGACGGCAGTGAGTTCCAGGACGACACCATGCTGCAGGTGCTAAGAGCCCAGAGGGCAGAGCTGTGGCGGCAGAAAAGGTGACTCTCCATCACCATGATGTACGACCCTGGGCCCCTGAATCCTCTGAGACTCCCGTCGGGTGCCCAACACTCCTGAGCCCTTTTCCCAAAACCCCATTTACAGCCTCAGACCCTAATCCTGAGCACATATCCCAGCCTCTACTCCCCCGGCTTACCTCCAGGAAAGTGGATGCACGATTATCCCTCCTGTTGGACCACACCAAAGACCCGGAATCTTGGCCCCCTCCAGCCAGGTTGGCCTCCTCCAGCCAGGTCGCCCCCCAGGTCCCCAAGGAGGCAGCTACGGAGGGAAGGAGCCTCCCTTGAGGCCAGACGACTTTGAATTGTATGAATTCTATTTTCCTGGTTATCTCTGAAAAAAGGGTTGTTCTGAAAAGGCCAAAAGGTCATGCTAATTTAAAGAAATAGGCCCCCCCTCCCACACCCCCAACCCCCATGGTTCTGTCCCCTCCCCCTTTTCTCTCCCATGGCTCTCCCCCCTCCCCCTTCCCCCTCTTACCTGACCACTGAAGCAAAATCTCTTTTCCAGTTTCATCCTCCTTTGGAGTGGGGGGAGGGTTCCAGGCAAGACTTCAGGCAAGACCAGGACCCACCTTAGCTGACTCTCAACTCAGGAGTGGAGCCTCCTGTTTCAGATGGGACCAGAGGGACCGTCCTCTGGCATTAAGCTACTGGGGTCATCATAGTATTGGACAGTGGTCAGTCCTCAGTCCACATCCTGCTTGTCCCAGCAGCAGCATTTGGTGAAGCTGATCCCTCCTTCCTTGAAGCACTTTCTTCCCCTGCTTCCAGAACCCCTCTCCTTGCTTCTCTGGTCATGCCTCCTCAGTGCCTCAGCCTGTCAACTTTTGGCATGTCCCAGGGCCCTGGCTTTGACTTCTTTATCTACACTCAGTCCCAGGTGTTCTTGTCTAGCTTCATGGCTCTAAACCCCATCTCTATTCTGATAGTCCCCGAATTTCTGTCTAGCCTAGACCTGGCCACTCAACCTTGGGCTTCTACATCTTGCTGCCTGCTCACCATCTCCACCCAAAGGTCTAAAAGACATTTCAAATTCTGTAGGTCCTAATCTGAGCTCACAGTCTTCCCCTTCAACTTGCTCCTACCCCCACTTTCCTCAGCCCCCCGCCCCCTGCCCTAGCTGCTCAGGCCAAAAGCTGTATATCCTTGTCTCCTCTCTTACCTTTGCGCCCACAGTCAGTCAACCAGCAAATCCTGTCATCTATCTTTAAAATCTATCCATAATTCAACCTCTTCTTCCCCTTCCACTGCCCTGTCTAGGCTATCATTACTTCCTACGTGGATTATTGAGAAACTTATTGTTGTAAACATGTCTGCACATTCTTTGATACATTTGCCATCAAGAGGTATAGTCTCTGTCTCTTCCTTTGAAACTGGACCCCTCAACAAATAGAACACAGAGACAGTGATGCAGTTTAACTTGCAGAGTTCAATTAGAAAAGATGCCATACCTGCCAGCTGTCCCCTCCCCCCCCAGCTCCACCCCCCGCCCAAAAAAAAAGAAGGGCTGGCTGGTTAGCTCATTTGGTTAGAGCACAGCCTTATGACACAGGTCACAGGTTTGAATCCCCGTACCAGCCAGCAGCCCAAATAAAGGAAAGAAAGAAAGAAAAAATTTTAAAGCCTGGCCAGTCAGTTCACTTGGGAGAGTGTGGTGCTGGTAACACCAAGGTCACAGGTTTGGATCCCTGTACCAGCCAGCACTGCCCCCCCCACCCAAAAAAAAGAGAGAAAGAGAAAGAAGAGAGAAATGATGATATGGTCAACCTGGTTTCCTTTCTTTCCCTCTTTCTATCTCATTCTCTCTGATGCTTGCTTTAGAGGTCAGGTAAGAAAACGGATTGCCTCCCTGTATCCACTAGCCATTGATGATATGGTCAACCTGGTTTCCTTTCTTTCCCTCTTTCTATCTCATTCTCTCTGATGCTCGCTTTAGAGGTCAGGTAAGAAAACGGATTGCCTCCCTGTATCCACTAGCCATAAAAAAACCTCCCTGATTGCCATGCTGGGGAGAGGTTTGGGTTACACAGATGTATGCACTTATGAAACTCAGTGAAATCTGTGAATTTCATTGTACATAGAGTTTACCACAAAAGAAAAATAACTTTAAAGATATCCATGCCAAAATACTTAGGGGACAGTATACCAATGTCTGCAATTTCTTTTGAAATGCATCCAAAAATTACTTGGATTGATGGATGAATAGAGTAATAGGTAGGTGTGAAATAAAGCAAATATAGTAAATGTTAATGCTAGGATTGAAGTGGTGGATATGTGGGTGTCCATTGTAAAATTTTTCAACTTTGCTTTATGTTAGAAACTTTTTATAATAAAAATGGTGAAGAATATTTGATCAGGATTGTTTTGATATCTGTATTTATTAAAAAGAGGGGATAGCAGCTTCTGTATGTCAGACACGATAAATATTTGGGGGAGGTGACTAGAAGGATTCCTGAGGAAGTTACACTTAGAGTGAGACAGGTAGGAATTGTCTAGTTGACAAGGGGCTGTCCTAATTACTATTGCTGGGTAACAAACAATCCCCACAACTTAGTGGCATAAAAAAATAATTTTATTATGCTCATGGATTCTGTGAGTCAGAAATTTGGACAGAGAGCTGGACAGTTAGCTCAGCTGGTTAGAGCGTAGTGTTACAACACCAAGGACAAGGGTTTGGATCCTCCTACCAGCCAGCCATAAAAAAAGAAAAGAAAAGAAATTTGGGCAGAGCACAACTGGGGACAGTTTGACTCTGCTCCGTGTTGTCTGGGGCTTCAACTGGGAAGACTCAAAGGTGACGACAGCTGTGGGGTGGAGTCCTCTGGAACCTCTTTATTCACACTCTGGCACCAGGGCTGAGATGACTCAAAGGCTGCGCTCAGCTGGGCCTGTCCATTGTAATGCCTGTACATAGTCTTTCCACTGGCTTAGGCTTCCTCAAAGTGTGGCTGCCTCAACATAGTCACAATTCTCACATGATGCTTCATGGCTCTATGGCTAGTCCTTCCAGTGGAAAAGAAGGAAGCTACATTGCCTTTTACCACCTAGCTGTGGAAATCACATAGTGTCAATTCCACTATTTTATTAGTTGAAGCTGTTACCATCCTGCCCGGATACATGGAAAGCGAGCATAGATGATGAAATGAATTTGCAGCCATATTTTAAAACCACCACATGGGTTAGTGGGGGGAATACTCCAGGCTGAGGAAACATCATGTGGGAAATCCCTGTGATGGGGGTAAGGTCAGCAAGTTCAATAGGTGAAATAAGTAACTGTAAACTGACCTCTTCACCAGCACTCTACCTAATCCCTGCTTTATTTTTCTCCATAGAGCTGATGACTTTCTAATATCCTGTATTTTAAAATATTTATTTTTCGGGGGCCAGCCTGTGGCTCACTCGGTAGAGTGCGGTGCTGATAACACCAAGGCCATGGGTTCGGATCCCATATAGGGATGGCCGGTTCGCTCACTGGGTGAGTGTGGTGCTAACAACACCAAGTCAAGGGTTAAGATCCCCTTACCGGTCATCTTTAAAAAAAAAAAAATATATATATATATATATTTATTTTATTCATGGTTTGTCTTCTCCCACTAGCTTTTGAGCTCCAGTGTGGGTAGGTTATCCCTTCCCCCGTCCCTGTTTTGTTTATTGATGTATCCACAAATTAAGTACTCAGAGTTTTGTTTGGTTTTGTTTTAAAGATGACCGGTAAGGGGATCTTAACCCTTGACTTGGTGTTGTTAGCACCACACTCACCCAGTGAGCGAACCGGCCATCCCTATATGGGATCCGAACCCATGGCCTTGGTGTTATCAGCACCGCACTCTACCGAGTGAGCCACAGGCTGGCCCCCGAAAAATAAATATTTTAAAATACAGGATATTAGAAAGTCATCAGCTCTATGGAGAAAAATAAAGCAGGGATTAGGTAGAGTGCTGGTGAAGAGGTCAGTTTACAGTTACTTATTTCACCTATTGAACTTGCTGACCTTACCCCCATCACAGGGATTTCCCACATGATGTTTCCTCAGCCTGGAGTATTCCCCCCACTAACCCATGTGGTGGTTTTAAAATATGGCTGCAAATTCATTTCATCATCTATGCTCGCTTTCCATGTATCCGGGCAGGATGGTAACAGCTTCAACTAATAAAATAGTGGAATTGACACTATGTGATTTCCACAGCTAGGTGGTAAAAGGCAATGTAGCTTCCTTCTTTTCCACTGGAAGGACTAGCCATAGAGCCATGAAGCATCATGTGAGAATTGTGACTATGTTGAGGCAGCCACGCTTTGAGGAAGCCTAAGCCAGTGGAAAGACTATGTACAGGCATTACAATGGACAGGCCCAGCTGAGCGCAGCCTTTGAGTCATCTCAGCCCTGGTGCCAGAGTGTGAATAAAGAGGTTCCAGAGGACTCCACCCCACAGCTGTCGTCACCTTTGAGTCTTCCCAGCAAGTCAAGGGTTAAGATCCCCTTACCGGTCATCTTTAAAAAAAAAAAAATATATATATATATATATTTATTTTATTCATGGTTTGTCTTCTCCCACTAGCTTTTGAGCTCCAGTGTGGGTAGGTTATCCCTTCCCCCGTCCCTGTTTTGTTTATTGATGTATCCACAAATTAAGTACTCAGAGTTTTGTTTGGTTTTGTTTTAAAGATGACCGGTAAGGGGATCTTAACCCTTGACTTGATGTTCTCAGCATCACGCTCTCCCAAGTGAGCTAACCGGCCATCCCTACATAGGGATCCAAACCCTTGACTTGATGTTGTCAGCTCCACGCTCTCCCAAGTGAGCCACGGGCCGGCCCGTACTCAAGAGTTTTTGAATGAATGGATGAATGAGTGAATTTACCGGGGAGGTACCCGCTGAGGTGAGAGCCTTGTTGAGGGCATGACCAATGAGAGAGCCCTCTCGGAAAGGGCGTTGTTACAGTGTTTTCTGGACATGCTCAGTCAGTGGTGGGAACGATTTGGATTGGCTTTATGGGAGACATAACCATGTTCTGGCATTACAGACTAAACCTTTTCCTAGGAAAAAGTCAAGGCTGGAGGCCGGCCTGTAATGAGCAATAGAAGAGGAGACAAGGAAAAAGTCCAGTGGGTAGGACGAGGCCAAGTCGCAGAGGGCGTGGAGTTATGTCCCAGGCAGGGTGTCTGAGGCAATGAAAAACATCCATGGGCGGAGTGCCCTCAGGATTCTGTGGACGGGGTGAGGTTTAGGACCGACACGGTGGGACTAGAGAACTAAGATTTTGAAAAGCTGTTTGTGGAAGGGAGCAAAGCCCTGAGGCCGTCAATTAAGAATGTCAGAGGAGCGGTCACTAAGAATACTAAGAATGGACTAAGGGGAGGGTTTATTGCTTAGCGTTAGAAGTATTGGAAACAAAGCATAAAGAAATGGGGGTGTGTCTCAGGAGGGGATGACAGCCAACGAAAAGCAGTCATGGGCGTGGCGCTGTCAAATTTCGGGGGGTGGGACCGAAGAGACAGAACCAGAGATGGGGCCCAAGGCGAAGCCAATGAGAAGCCGTCAGGTGGGCGGGGCGTCGTCCTAAGGCCAAGGGTGGAGCCAATAAGAAGCTGCGTCGCGTCCTCGCTGCCCCCCGGCCCCTGTGGGGCGCGCGCCGGAGCCACGGGCAGCCGTTAGGGGCGGGGCCTGCAGCCGCCCGCGCGCGGCTCGCGCCCTCCCCTTTGTGTCGCCATGGCGGCGGCGGCTGCAACGAGGACGAGGAGGGAGGGATTGAGCGCGGCT